GGCGTGGGGCGAGGAGGGGAGGCAGGGCAGTCACCAGCGCCGGCATCTCCCCCTGAGGCGCCGCCGCCCCACTCTGCGTGCACCCGTGCCGTAAAGAAACCTGCAAAGAGGCGATACTCGGCCTCCGCCGTGCCCGTGCCCCAACGGACACGCTGCTTTCGGCCAGGGGAACCCAAACGTGGAGGAGGGACCCGGCCACTAGCCAGGCTCTCGCCCAGGGCCCCGCACCTTGCCTCGTCCGCCTCGGCCAAGGCACGGCCAGGCACGGGCCTGGGCCAGACTTTTACAGCACTTGTGTTGCAGGGGGCTCGTAACGGCACTTACGGCTTCGATTCAAAAGAAAATAAATAAAGCTCCTGCAAGAGTCATAAAACAGGGTTGGTTTGTTTTCTCTTTAAATTCCCAAGCTACGTGCTTCCCAAGCGGTGGCGACCTGGGGTGCCATCGCCAACAGGACACGGCTGCCCAGGAGCCGAGGGGCGCAGAGCGTCTCCACCAACGCCCCACGGCAAGGCCTCCTCCTCCCCAGTTCTCAAAACTGGCTAACATCCACAAATACTCTCCTAATAACCTTGTTCGCCAGGGGAGTCCTGAAGAAATCTCCAGCAGTTCCCTACTGAACCCTCTCGCTTTGTAACACGCGCCAGGAAAGCCAGTCCTTGGATTACATTATTCTAACACGTGATACAAAGAAATAACTGTACGTCTTTGGCATGGTGACCCTATGCCAGTTATGTTCATCACTGAGCTTTCTCTTTTGGCTATTTTTCTATGGTTTCTGTTTCTTTGTTTTATATAACTTGCACTGAATGCACAGATACTTAATTTATTATAATCTAACACGCTACTGGAGAGAACCAGTAACTTTCTTTACTTTCCCTTAATCATCAACTCATTTAAAAATGAATGCACAAATACTTAGGCCTGGTAGAGTCAACTGAAGGATTAAAAGAGAGTGTAACTATAACTAACTATATGTACAAAATAGTACAAAATGTTGTGGCTTGAGCCCACATGATGATATTTTAAATTTTCAGATTCCTGGACAGTAACAAGGCATTGTTTCAGCTAGTATTTAGTGGCCACTACTAGACTATATAAGCCCAAGAAGTTTAGTCCATGCAAAGTTCTATGTACAGCTGGAGTCTCACCTACAGAATTTACTTCACCTTCCAAAGAAATGCTATTGATAAAACCTGCCTAATTTTTAAGAAGATTGCAAAATGGCTGTTAACATTTGCAAATCCACTCCAAGAAACAATCCCTCAGCACCTCTCTTTTCATATCTCCTCTTCACTATTAGCCATACTAACCAGATCTTTATTTTAACAGACAAATAAAAAAAACAGCATAAGTTGCCCATGGCATGCTGTCATGTCCTACAAGACTGACCTATAATTTAGAGAAGTTAAATGATGAACAGAACTTCATTATCTTTCAGAAAACGTTGTCATTAAATTGTCATTTCTTCTCTAAAAATGGATAAGAAACAAGAAAACAAAGCCATTATACTGAACTCTGCACTTCTGTGACAACTGCAGTAACATATTTTAGGTGAACTGGTTCCATTTTTATGTCACCACTGCACTGAAGTTTTATGGGATTTTTCAGTGGAATTTGAAGACTGCTTACACAACCAAATATACTACAGAATAACCCATGAAGAGACACATAATATAAATCTTTCCTTGAATCAAGAAGAAAATAACATGTACAAGTCCCATTGTCATTCGGTATTGATTTCCCTAGCACAGGAAGGGAAAGGACACACTAGAAGTGTTGTAAAATATAGACATCCTGATCAAGACTGAAACATCAAGCTTTTTTCTCCTATAATTAAAACAAAAGTTGTAAGTTATTAAACAATATCCATCTGACTTTTTCCCAAATCATTGCAGATATTTTCAAAGTAGTGATCCCCACTTAATAGTAGAACTCTTTAACTGGCATTCAGCTATGTTTTCCCAAAGAGCTTTCTAAACATCTTCTTGATAAAATAATAAGGAAGTAAAACTTGCAATTAGAGAAACAAAGAACGGCAGCAACAAAGTTCCTTAAGTGTTTTACTTTCTCCTCCAATAAATACACCTAAGAATTCACAAATGTGGTATTCATTGTAATTTAGGTTATATTAAAGAATGATGTTTATTATTATCTTCTTCTTTGTTTTCTAGTAGTGTATTTGTTTCTGGGCTAAGTAAAATACAGGATAACATGGGAGTGTGCAGACATTCCACAAATCATGCATTTTATCTTAATTCAGAATACAGTATTTTATAGCTGTGAATGCATTTGCACTTATTTCCCTTAATATCACATATATTTAGAATGGTTAAAAAAGAAAAAGTTTGAAAATAGGTTAAAGGGCCTCAGTAGCAGGGTAGGTGGTAGCCATGGACAAATCAATTTAATCAGTCACTATGGTATGCACTGTGTTATCCAATTCAGTGAACCATTTCACCTCACCAATTGACCAAGAACCTGCTGTCAGGGCCCCTGCTTCCACTCAAGAGGCCTCTGTCACCTTTTGCATATATATTTATCAATACATCCTATTTGCAAAATATTGTAATTCCCTGCGTGTATTCAAATTACTGCTAAAATGTCACCATAAAAGAAAACTCTATCAGAAGCAGTTGTGATTAAACGATGATTTGTCTTTTCAGGAATGTTTTTTGTTACCAACCAAACCAAGCATCTGGCTAAAGTGTCACACTAGAATATATGTGCCAGCCGGGGTGTGCCTGGACTTAAACAGGAGGGTGGTATTTATTCAATTCTTTTTAACTATTTATTCATTCCTTGTCAATCATTCTTACCAGGAGAACAGATCACACCCCGCTCTGAACTGCCTTCCTTCTCAAGGGATTTACACCAAAATGGAAATGATCAGCCACCTCAGAGCTCACAAATGATACCACAAGGCATCATCCACGCGCATTAAGGTATGGTATTAACCCTTTTGTCCAAAACTCTTCAACTCTTTTCTCCTCTCTGCTGTATATACTTATGTTACAACGTAATGAAACCCGATAGCATATGATATGTGCACATAAGCTCATACATCTACATCTCTCTATATACATAAATATATTGAACAACATACAAGCTTGCTCCTGCTAAGAAAATTGGCAAATTCTCATTTGACTATGTTCTCAGAAACTCTAGATTAGTACAACCATAATAAATGTTTCTTCACCTTAGAAGCGCTACGGAAATAAATGTATGTTAGCTTAAGCACAACATAGAAGTTTATATGTAAATTACATCATGAAATGAATAAACCACAAAAAGCCCTTAAAAGTGCAGTTATAGTAGAAGTAACACAAAAAATCAAAGGCAAGAAGGATTTATTAAAATAGTACTGTCTTTCTCGCAGTAGGATCCCATGATTTACTAGGTAGCTTCAGGCTGAAAAAATGATGCAACAGAGTAAATAAAAGAGATAGCAATTATCCTAACAGGGAATCCTTTCTTCACTACAGCACAGGGTGAATCAGGGTGATTCTTTTTGACATAAAATAGATTAACATTTTAATAAAGGAACACCCTGAGGAACTTGTCTAGCACTGTATTTCAATCTTAAGAAAACAGTAACATTAACACCTACTAATGAAGAGAGAGCATACAGGGATGTTAAAAAACTGAAATTCTCCTCCACTACATATTTGTGATTGCACCAAACTGTAGATATTAAACGAAACATGAACAAGCAAAAAGTATAGATTCCAACATAAACTATGATCTATTAACTGCAATAAGCTGATAGCTGAAATTCATTAGAAGTACCCAATTTCACAACTAAATTCAGATGCAAAATGAAATACACTCTAGTTTTCAGTTCTTTTCCTTGTCCCAGCAGCCAACTCCTAGGAAGCACACCCTAGCCCTACTCCTTTTAAAATTACAATACCCCTGCTTTGCAAATACATTCACCACAATAATAGCTCAGCTGAGCTAAGCAGTAAGGAGGGTAAGCACAACTGCTTGCTTCTTCGATGATGCTTTATAATATGATTTAGATGATAAACCAATATATATGAAAAGTAGAGGATCATTTGTGTGGCTCCACCCTATTATCTGTTGAGACAAAAAGATTCAAAATTACCCTGCTGACTTTTTTTGGAGGGGTGGGTTTAACATCTAACAGGGATAGCAAAGAGAAAAAGAGTATATAGTCAGAATAAGATTAAAATAATTCACCAATAAACCAACTCCTCTTCTGTTTTTCCTTTTCAAATGCTATCAGACAACAAAAAACTGCACTTCGCTAACAATGCGCCATCTAGCAATGTTAATGCTTTAAAAAATGGCGTGGTATTCTAACAGCATGTACAAGTGAGATGTTTTTACAGTACACTGAATGCCAACTAAGCAGTTAAATAAAGCATCAAGGAAATGTTTAAAATTGTACCTAAATGCGCTGTCTTCTTTAGCAATTACTTTCACAACATACCTAAAGAAAGTCCAGCTCTTGCAGACAGAATACACGGATCACTTGAACTACCCTGTTTTGCTGTAAAAGAAGGTTAAACTACCCATGATCTAACATAAGTATGGATCTTAGACAAAACTAAGATGTTTTACTCTTCAAGGGCTTCAGTAACTTGTCTTGAAAATCAGGCCACGGGGCAGTGTAAGGGACACTTCTTGCTGGTGGATGTGAGTATTTAG